ATTATTATTATTAGTATTATTATTATTATTAGTATTATTATTATTATTATTATCCTCACAGAAAGACAATGGTTTTCAATGCAGTGCGACCTGAGATGTCAAAGGTCATGGACATTCAATGTTGGTTTTCAGCCTTGCTGTTTATGTGCAGACATTTTTTTTCAGTTATATTACGGCCTGACGTTGACGAAATCCTTCAATCCTTTCAGATACACAGTTTGAAAAATTTGACACACATCATTCCTCACAATTTTTTCCCTGTTTTTTCTTATGAATAACAATAATAATATTAATAATAATAATAATAAATTATGTTTTATATAATGCTGCTACTACTAGTAGTAGTAGTAGTAGTAATGATAATATTCATTATTTAATTTAATTTTGTTTCAATTTGTTTTATTTTATTTCATTTACAGTAACTTTAATATTAAATTTAACATTATTAGTATTAGTAGTAGTAGCAGTAATAGAAGTATTTAAGGGGAGTTTCTCTCACATGCAATCATGATCCTCACCTCATTTCATATATATACATATATATATGTTCATTATAAACATTATTTTATTTCATTCTACATATGTTGTTTTCTTTATTATGTTGATGTGAAAATGAATGGCTGACTTACGGTTGCCAGCTGTCATTAACTCTACGCCAGCTTCATTGTACAATCACTTTGTGACATGATATGAAGGTCCGCAGGAACAGTCAATACCTTCTGATTTCTTCAGTCCATTCCTCTGACCCTGAGTAAAGTAAGGGACTGTACGAGGGGCGTGTACCCATACACTGAGACTCCAACTTTAGGGCCGGCTCTTATCGGTAAAGATCACCGTTCTTTACGCTCCCTTATCTCGCTCCTACTGCAGCACAAAAACAACACCATCACCAAGGACAACAAACGCTGCTTTGGTGTACTGAAACAATGCAGTTGTTTTCTTTTTTTTTTTTTCTTTTTTTATACATTTTAATAACGTATTCATCTTTGGACCCCTGGGCAGCCGTGTGCGTAAAAGTCAGGTGCATTGTGGGTAGATTGTTATCTCAAGGCAGCAGAAAGAGCCTGGACAAAAACAGCTTCTTAAAGTCTCTTAAATCATTGTTGCATCGGGCTGGTTGTCCAGACAGTACCAGACAGTACCAGACAGTACCAGACAGTACCAGGTACCAGCACGGCCGCACGTACTGTACGTGCTTGCTGCTAGTAATCCCCTCCTCCCCCTGTAGTAAAGCTCCTTATCTGAACACAAGGACAATCTACACATGAAAAAAAAAGGATCTAATATCAGAGGTGTGATTCATTTGTTGATGGTTTGTTGAATGAGTGTGACGACCCTGCTGCCCATCATAGCAGATCTCACTGCTGTCGGTGGAACCGTTCACTTTGTGATGTTAAAGTCGCTTCAAATGTTGTGCCTTGAACTTCCTGCAAACACCAGTGAACCGAACGAACCTGATGCTAAGTGTTTTTTTTATGTAACTACTAATCCAATTCTATTCTTCGATACTTATCAGATATATTATTGGATACTGTATATACTGTCTCCCATAGGTCAGCGTTTGCTGCTCAAATTAATTAATATATCGTGGTC